GTGTATGTATATATATATATATATATATATACACACACACACACACACACACACACACACACACACAATATAGAGGAAAAGAATGTTTGCTGTTTAATACATCTGACTATATTTAACACAACTTTAGCTGCTTTTGTTCCAATAACGTGGTATGCTATAGACAGATAATTACATCTAATGTGAAAATATATATGTGTGTATATGCACGTGTGTGTGTGTATTTAATGAAAATAAGCCTTACCAAAAGTGACTCCCCATGACAGCAATCTTACTGAAGTGATATATCTTGAGCATGCTACAGCATATTTGCTTATTTCCACAATAAGCCAGCAGCACACATCTGATAGGCCTTACCCCTGTGTCTGCCTATCCCGGGTGGCCTGGGTTCCTGCAATGGCTGGTTCCCAGCTGCCTGAGCCTGGGATCAATGCGTGCTCTGGGAGGACAGTACACAACCCCACCTGCTGGGTCACAGCAGCCACTGCTATAGCTACATACACAGCCATCCTCACTTCCCCAGTCTCCTGTCCTCCCTTTCCCTTCATGCCACCTGAGCCTGTCCCACAAACAGCCTCCAAGAGTATCCATAAAAGACTTAGTTCAATAAAGTGGACTTGGACTCTCCTTTGGATTTATACCAGGAGGTCCTGCCAAGACCCCTCAGTTTGGGCTGGCACTGTGTTCTTTTATAGGGTCATCACTATTTACCTAACAATACCTACTCAAAAACAGGTCCAGGTAAGCAAATAATTGTGTAGGTTATGTGAATACCCTCTGCTCTACCTCAGGCAAACTGAAATAACAGATTTGCCACTTTTAAGCAGTGTTAACACTGTGTCACTCTGACAAGCCAGTTTGTTGCCAGACACACAAATAAAACCTAAATGTTGAGTGGAAATATTCATGAAATAATCTCCTTTTCACATCTTTGTTGGTGTCTAACAAGAATAATGTCCAAATATCAGTACATTCCTCAGCAACTGTTTTCCTGAGATAACTCTTATTTTAGCCTTAAGCAACTTAAAAACCTTCCATATGATGAGCATTAAGCTATGAATTGAGAAGACAATCTGCCTGGACATATTAATGTTTTTTCCTGTAAAGATAAACAGTGCTCAGGACTTTCTTATTCTGTATATACTACTGTTTTCATATGAGTTCAGGAAAGGACTGTCTCAGTGACAGTAAGATGTGTTTAAAGAAAGCTACTTTGAGAAGAACTGGACAAAGCCACTGTGATAAAAACAGCATGATACTGGCAAAGAAACAACCTGAGGATCAGTGGAACAGATTAGAAGATGCAGAAACAACTCCAAACCCAGTTACCCCATCTTTGCCAACCATCCTCAGTGGAGGAAAGATAGCCTCTTCAATAAATTGTGTTGGAAAAACTGGATTTCAACCTGCCAAAGATTAAAACTAGACCCCTAACTTCACCATGCACTAAACTAAAATCCAAGTAGATTAAAGATCTAAATATTAAAACAGAAACACTAAATTTTCTGGAAGATAAGTTACGTAGAATGCTTGAAGACACTGGCATAGGAAAAAACTTTATGAACAAATCCTTAGTAGCATGGGATAGTTCTCAAAGAATCAACAACTGGAATCTCATCTTATTTAAAAGCTTCTGGACTGCAAGAGCACCAACCACCAAGAGAGCTAAGAGACAACCTACAATATGGGAAAAAACTTTACCAGCTGTTCCTCAGACAGAGGTCTACTATCTAGAATATATAAAGAACTAAAAAAAAAAAAAAATCAGGACCCCAAATATAAAGACCCAATTCAGAAATGGGCATCTGAAATGAAGGGACATTTCTCAGACAAACAAGTAAAAGCAGCAAATAAATATATGAAGAAATGTCCAACATCACTGGTCTTTCAAGAGACTTAGATGAAAACAACAATGAGATTCCATCTCACCCCAGAAAGAATGGCTATGAAGAAATTAACCAATAAAAATGCTGGTGGGGATGTGGGGAGAAAGGAACTCTTTTCCATTGTTGGTGGGAGTGCAGACTGTTGCAACCACTGTAGAAATCAATATGGAGAGACCTCAAAAACTAGGACTAGTGGTCCCACTTGAACCAGCTATCCTTCTGCTGGGTATCTTTCCAAAAAGAACTGTGCAGAAAACTATTTTACAACCAAAACTAACAAGTTAATAAATCAGTTCAAACTGCTGAACTACAACTGGCCACTAACAGATCCTCAGAAACCATGGTTTCTAAAACTGACAGAATCAGTTGTTCATGCTCTGTACTTGAAAAATCCTCATTAGGACATAGTCAGAGAGTCAAAAGCTGAAGCATTTCTTCCCGGACATGACTGGCTCTCCACTATTCAAAGAAGTGAGTGAAGATGCAAAACACATAGCCTTTTATAAAAGGAAAACACATAAAAATAAAAATATAACCTCTTCTACTCTGAGTTAAAAGTAGGAGAGATATGCAATCACTTAGAAAATATTCTGAGATGGTTACTGTTATAAAAAAAAACAAAACACTGTGCTCTAAATGGAGGAGAATTAGTAACAAAAGAAGACAAGTTTGTCAGGGTGTGTTGTAAAATTGCTCTGTCTATTCACAACTGAGCAGGAACTTCAGGAATTCTAGTATCAAACTACTATATGATGGAAAAGCAAGAAAAGTAAAAATTAAATTGGTCTGTACTTTATACAGAGTGACTTAGTACTCACATAAATATTAACAAATTGCTGACACAATGAGGCTACTCTTTGCAGAGTAAACATTCATGATTTAATATGGAATAATGATAGAAGTGCATCATTATTAGTTAGAGTGATATAAAGAATTACAATATTATAAATAGTTTTCCAAAACATGCCCTAGATTGGGTTAGTGTCTAGAAACAATCCATGAAGACTTCTGTGGTGACCGAGACTGGGCACAGAGCATCAGAGACACACAGTCAGTGTCCATAAGCAATTATGGAAGTCAGGTTGGCACTGTTTAAACTAGTCTTTCTCAAGATAACCAATGGGACAATTTATTCCCAAGAGAGTCACTAATGCAGTTCAGAAGTGCTAATAAGACACACATATAATCACTACACTCCCTTTTCCACTTAAGTCAAGATACACTTAACCCAGAGAGTCCTGAGTTAACTCTAGAGCCAGCTGCATTGCTAACTGCACCAGCAAATCCTCTCACCATCAGCTCTAGCTTCCCTCTACAACCCTTGTACTAGAAAAAGTCTATGGTTGGAACTGAATTCCAATATTGTACAATCACTTACTAAATAATGAACTTAGGAGATACTATGTGTATGAGCCTCAATGTGAGCCCCAAATATATGAATGTTACCAACTTATAGTGTTGGTGTGAGTTGGGTTGGAGATCTTTTCCCAGAGCACTTAGGTAGAGCCTGGCACACAGAACTCAATAAATGGTAACAATACTCCTGCTCTCTATCCTGACAGGGTGCTAAGTGAGACAGGATGGAAAGCATCTGTTGTGATCCCTGGTAAAATATGAGTTGCTCAATAAATTAGAGATTGATAATCATGTTCATCTTATATCATTACTTTTCTCCACATAAAAAACAACTAAAAAGAATATTAATGAACTCCAGTGACAATTTTAATACTCACTTTCCCAGGAAGCTAGAAAGAAAGTGACAGAGGGAAGAAAATATGGACATACAAACTGATGACCATAGTCAGGCAATTCCCAGCATCTTCTCCTTGTGAAACTTCAACAGAAATGTAGGGATTTTGAGCTCACCAGGGTGAAACCTGCAGAAACACTAGCAGAGTCATTCTACAGCACACAGCCGCATGAAAAGGTTAAACTCACAGTATTGGGAACATAGGGGAGGCCATAAAATTTCTCCTGTGTTTCTTTGAGAATGTCTGTGGTTGACTTCCTCAGAGGATGCTTCCCATGGTAGATTTGATCCAGAGTGGCATAAAAAACCTAGACAGATGAAAACATCTACTCAGCTTTTGTAGTCTAGTCTCATATTTAAGGTGTGGTCAACCAAAGATGTCATACATACACCAAAAAATAATTATAAGTCATAGCTAAAATCATTCACAAATACAAATCCATGTGATTTGAGATGTATTCTCTACCACGTTTAAGACCACGTAGATTAAAAGGAATGCTTTGAACCTTTTCATGATTAAGGATATTAAAGAATTTTGAACCATATCCATGAGGTACTCTTTATGTACAATGGTACAAGTCAAATTTGTGACCTTAGCTGGGGATTTAGCTCAGCAGCACAATGCCTTCCCTTTAAGCGCAAGGTCCTGAATTCATCCCTGGTAGCAAAATACATAAATTAATTAAATAAAAAATAAATTTGTGACCTCACACTGGACTTTCGTCAATATATATGTAGTTAGATAAATGAAAAAAACAGAGTTATAACTTGAAACTTCCTGGATCTAACAAGTCCTGCTTGTTTTCTTCCTGGAATCCTGGTAAATCTTAAATAAGAAAATTGAAATGGTTAGAATGCTAGTTTTGTAAGTAGAGGTGAAAGAACATTAACTGGGTTCACAGTGGAGAAAGAAAAAATAAATCTAGTATCTGGTGAGTACAGATGTTACAAAGAATCCTGACGCAGCTGCTGGAGGGTAAAGAGTGACACCAAGATCCCACATCACACCCCACAACTGGTATCGGGAAGTATAAAGAAAGCAGCTGCCACATAAGGACAGTTTTGGTTCAAGCAGGGGTCCAAGAAAGAAGGATCCCTCACTCTGAAGAGAAGATGTAGGCCATTGAAACATAATAAGTAATAAAGCATCAAAGATAGTTTGAACAAGAAATGTGATGTTTGCAAAGTAATGAAAATTAAATTTGGCTTAGAAAAATCTAAAGTAAAGTGCTTTTTCACTGCAACATTTGATCTGAATATTAACTAGGTTTGGAATTTTCTAAATAGAACAAAGCCAAAAATGCTTTATTTAAAGGAAAAATTCTGACATGCAATTATGCCTCTGTTATGTATCTTTCAGATTTAAAAATGGAATTTGTGGGGAATGTGCAGCTGTTGACTAGAAAGAAGTAAGGATTAGTCTGGATAAAAGAAAAAATTTAAATGACCTGTAGCTCTGGCTTCATCTAGATATAGAATTATGATTCTAAATTAAAAAGTCAGTTTTAAACTTTGCTTAGAAAAATACAGACATTTTCAAAATATAAATACTGCTTTCTTCTAACAGGTAATCTACACATTTATAGCTAACTACAGCTCTTTCAATTATGTATTCTATAATGAGTAACAATGCATAAAGATAATCAGAAAAGACAGAATTACTCATCCTATGTTTTACCTATATTCTAACATATTAAATCCTTATCAAAACTCTTCAGCTCTAACATGAACTGAGGTGTTTGTTTTTTTTTTCCTCTGCCCCAATCCAAAACTAAGCCAGATCAAGAATTTCTCTTCATGTATGCCTTTAAAGTAATATAAACATGGAATAGCTTTTTTTTTTTTTTCTTACAGGGATCTAACTCAGGTCCTTGTGCTTGTGAGGTAGGCAGCAGAACCACTGAGCTAAATCCCTGGCCCTATGGAATAACTTTTTGCATTATTCAAAAACAAAGCAAAGTAAATGTGCATTTACTTCATGCTTATTTGCTGATGAACCAAACAACTCTTTTAACCATCAGCCTATCTGTCCCCCTAACCGGATATATATTACTGGGTCCAAGAACCTTAGAGCCGCAGAAGAATATGAAACCTACTTTTAAAACAATGTACAATAAAAATTTTTCCCACAATTTAAAAAACACTATTTATACACTATTTATATTTATTTATATTTATTTTAAAATACTATTAATTTATACCAAAATAATTCACTTCATTTCCACACTCGTCTGTCTCCGCTGTACAAGTATGATGTGAAAGCTAGGCACAGTGTTCATAGACAGGCCCTGGCAGGAATCGCTGTCTTTGTGTTTCCTCTCAGTCCTCCTCTCTCTCTCTCTCTCTCTCAGAACTATTCTTTTCGAGGGTGGGAGCAAGGAACAGTTGTTTTCCCATCTTAAAAGAGAATCAGTGGGATAACTGTTCAAAAAGGAAGCCACAACACGGACTTCTAAAAGGCAACCCTTTACTATAGATACCAGCAAATCAAAAAACTTTGCCAGGTAAACTAATTTTCAAACACATTTCAGAAATCTAAATTACTGAATTAAGAAAATCAAATGTAAATTTATGGTTTTATCTATATTATGCACTTTCTTCACTGAAACATATATAGATGTTCATATGCATTGGGGGCAGTGCTGGAGATGGAGCCCAGCACCTCATGCACACTCTGCCACTTGTGCAGTGCTTCACCCCTCAGCTACATTCCAGGACTGAAATAGAAGCTTTAAAGTACAACAGAAATAGAACTCATTGTATTTCTAGGGACTGAATTTTCAAAACTATAAAGCTATCAAATAGTGGCTTCCCTCATAAATAGGAAACTGGAAAATCACAAAGTGAATATTGCCTAAGATGAAAGATGTGTTTACATTATGTTGATATAACTCAAGATCTGATGAAGAGTAAGAATTCCATAAACAATCTCAGCATTTGTAAATATCTAAACATCTGGTATCATGCAGACCTGGTATCCAGATGGTTTGTACATTTTTTCTTGTCTGGGAGAAGATATTCTTCTTGTACTGGAAACCTGAGAGACTGGTTTTCAGCATTATTTACAACTAATGGTAATAATGTGCAAACTTCACATGTAAAACTACAAAATCTTTTCCTTCCATGAAAAAACATTTTTTTTACTAGTAATGTCTGCAGTACACATTTACATTGTGTACCTTGTGTAGAGCTGCTATATGTATAACATCTTTTTTTTTCTTTTTATTGAGTTTATTGGTACAATCTAGGTATACAATACAGTTACATTCATCATTGGGATTCTGTACCTTTACATAATAGGTCTTGATTCTCATTTTTTCCCCTTGTCCCTGCCCTCCCTTCACCCCCTCCTCCCCTCCTCATTTACAAACACTTTATTTCCATTTTTTCAGTTTCTCATATTTTTTTCCTCTCCCTTATTACATTTCCCCCACCCTTCCCACTTTCCCTACACCTTTAGCCCTTTACTTCCTATTTCACATTATTATCTCATTAGGATCCTGTGTACTATAATAGTTTTTCACACCAAAGAAACTATTCGGTATTTCAGTTAAAGAAATCTCTGTATGAACATTAAAAATAGGGAATCCTAAAATAAAACTAAAAAGGAAAGTAAAAGAAAAAAGGCAATGATGTAACATTAAGATAATCCTAAATTCTGGAGACGAAAATGGTCCCTGAACATATTTAAATTGCTTCTTGCTCTTGTAGTCTTATCTTATTCTTTTTTTCATTATTTAGAGAATGCTTTATTAGTTTCTGTAATCAAACCCACGTAGATGTGACCTTACATATTTAGTACTATGTGTTACCCCTGTACACATGGAAAAAAAATAAATTAATTTATATTTATATTTATATAAAAAGACTAATAATAGTATGTTATGCATCGATAGCAGCAACAGCTTTAGCAGGTTCTGCAGTCATCTGAACAAAATTATAGACATTTAGCACATTCCATTAAAAACAAACAAACCAAAACAAAACAAAACAAAGAAAAGAAAAGAATAATATCCAGAAAACAGCAAAGTTCTGTTGCTGTTGTGGTACCTGGCACCATTTTTTTTATTAGCATCTTAATCATCATCTGGAAAGAGAACATTCTAGAGTAATATCATTAAATGTAGCTCTGATAAAGCACGGTCCCAACTATGTATCATAAAGCAGGTATAAGATATTTTACATTCATAGAGGTATGATACAGTACCGTCCTACATTGATAATAATAGAATCAATTTTGATTTGAAATTTACTTTGTCTGCAAATAAGATTGCTACTCCTGTTTTTTTCTGGGCTCCTGTCACATGGAGAATTGTTTTCTATCTTTTCACTTTCAGTCTACGGGCTTCTTTTTGCACTAGGTGTATATAACACATCTTAATTCCCTTTTTCACCCCCTTTCCTCCCATCTCTTAATCCCCTTTCCCTTTGAGAGAGATCTATCTACCTAGTTCCTAATATCTATCTTTTATTTTGTCCTTCAGTTATACTTTGAATTTCTCATAAAAGAGAAACCATGTGATATTTAAGCTTGAGTGACTGATTTATTTCACAACATTATGGTCTCAAGGTGTGTCCATTTTCCTAAAAATGACTCAAGTTTATCTTTCTTTATGGCAGAGTAGTTAGTATTCCATTGTGTGTAAATATCACATTTTCTTTATCCATTTATCTGTTGATGGACATGTAGAATATTTCCACAATTTAGCTATGTAAATGGTGCTGTTATCAACATGGGTATACTTCCATCATTGTAATATGATACCTTTAATTCTTTTGTGAAGATACCTAGATATAAAATAGCTGGGTCAAAAGGAATTTATAATTTTAGGGTTTTTTGAGGACTCTCCATACTGATTTCCATAGTCATTACACTAGTTTACATTCCCATGAACAATGTAGAGAAGTTCCTTTTTCTCTGCAGCCTTTCTAGCATTTGTTATTAGTTGATTTCTTGATGATCGCCATTCTTTCTGGGATCTCAGCATTGTTGTAATTTGCATTTCTCTAATGACCAGTAATGATTAGCATTTCTTCATGGATTTACTGGCCATTTGTACTTCTTCTGAGAGATGTCTGTTCATTTCACTATTTTTTTTTTTTTTTTTTTTTTTTTTTTTTTTTTTTTTTGGAGACAGGGTCTCACTATGTAGTTGAGACTGACCTGGAACTCACTATGTAGCCCAGGCTGGTGTTGAACTTACAGTGACCCTCCTGACTCAGCCTCCTGAGTGCTGGGATTACAGGCTTGCGCCACCACACCCGGCTATCTTATCCTTTTTTGATTGGTTCATTTATTTTTTAGTTCAAATTTTTTTTGTTTTTTTTTTGTTTTGTTTGTTTTGGTACTGGGGATCAAACTCAGGGCCTTGCACTTGTGAGACAGGTGGCGGCCCCACTGAGCTAAATCCCCAGCCCTCAAAATTGTTTTTAAAAATTTATAATAAATAAGAATATGTATGATTGGTTTTAAGTCCTAATTTAGTTCCTTAAATATCTCATCCAGAAGTCAGAACTCCTTGTAGGCTTTTATTGTCCTGACTGAAAATGGGAAATTACCCTATTTCATACATACTTCAGAAGGACAGTGTGAGGGCCCAATGAGTCAATTTTGGTTAAGTTCTTTGAACTCAGATGAAAGATGTTTTAGATGCATAATTACCATAATAAACGTGCAGTCCTGGTAAGAATGTAAAGTTACACATTTATGTGGGATAATGACTGGAAAATGTCAGAACAAAGCTCCACACACACCTGGAGTTGCAGGTCTGCAGCAGCACAAACCTTCTTCGATTCACAGAGACGAGACACCATGGCTTTTGGCAGCGGCTGGATAAAGCAAAAGAAGGCATGTATGTGAGTGAGCAGCTCCTAAGTCACTGCTTGTGTACGCTCAAGAGTCCAGAAATTTAAAAACAGCATCAAGTGGGGAAATAAATAACAGAATCTCTTTAGAATTTAGAAAGATAATTTTAAAATAGTTTAGAGACAACACAAAGACATTCCATTTAATTTCAAAGAGTGGTAACTGTCAAGGGCTGCAATGAAAAAACAGGATTGTAGAGAATGAAGACATTGGCACCAATCTTTAAACTCTATTTAAAACCCCAAAGGGGATACATTTTCTGTTCCTTTCTCCCTAACGAGTGTTTGTTCAAGTACTCTCTTGACTTTTAAGCACACATAATAACTGACACTAGGACTAAAAGATTAAAATGTCAAGAAAGTAACAATAATCCATGGTGCCAGCTGTTATTAAAGCTAAACTGATGTCCTGACAAACAGGCTTGATAATGAATTGCAGATTCTTATTCCTTCAACCTGAAAGAATTACAGAGCTTTTACACAGTAGAGGGTCCCTGTATGAGTTAAGGCTGTCTCTGTGAGACTAATTGGCCCTAATCCCATAAAATACACATCCTCTTGGAAATAAGCTAACAATATAGTGGAAGAATTACTTTACTCAATTTTTAAAGTCAGCAATATTTGTGTTTAGTGAAGAAAGCTACCACTTTAAACAACTCTATTTATAATTTAAATTACACTAAATGCCTCTCTAAAGAGAAACACATATAAGAGACCAACAACAGGTGACTCAGTAATCTATCATCAGCCCAGGAAGGAAGAGGACTCAGGCACCAAAAGAAGGACTGGCCACTGTCATATACATCCCCAGGGTCTAGAATGGTATCTGACACACAGTAGCTACTCGTTCAGGATTTGCTGAAGGCATGAAAGATTACTAGATCACTGTCAGCAGGCTAAAGCAGGAAGATCACAAGTTCAAGACCAGGCTAGACAATTTAGTTAGACTTCGTCAAAATTTTTTTTAAAAAAATTTTTAAAGGTTTGAAGTATAGTTCAGTGATGCAGTACTTGCCCTAGAACACACAAGACCTAGGTTCAATCCCCTACTAGGTTCAATCTTGCTACTACAAGCAAGAACTAAATAAATAACACTGCTAGAGACATACTTCTTAAGTCAAAGACTACAATAGGATTTGATGACAGCTCAGAAACAAATTTGCAGCCTTTTCAACTTTTTTCCTTTTTTTTTTTTTAATTGAGTTTATTGGTACATTTTAGGAATACAGTACAGTTACATTCATTATTGGGATCTTGTACCTCTACACGACAGGTCTTGGTTCCTATTTTTTCCCCTTGTCCCTGCTCTCCCTTCACCCCCTCCTCCATCCCCATTTACAAACACTTTATTCCTTTTGAAGAATAAGAAAAACAAGGCAGGCAAAAAAAGGAGATTTTAGCGTTAAGACATGGATGAAAGAAGTTGTGTAGTGTGTACCTTCTGGTACCAGGCAAGGCCTGGGGCTAATAATACCCAGAGCACTCCTCTTATATGCAAAAACAAAATTTCCTCAAACTGAATTACTTAAAGTCAAGATTTAATTAAGTCATACCTGCCAATAGCTTATAGCAAAATGTTCAGGTCTCTTTAAAGTTTATATGACAGGTTATATTGATAGGATTCATGGTACACTTAGAAGATGGTTCATGCTTCACAGAGCTTTAATAGTTTTATTTTCATAACACAAGTGCATGTGGAAGGGTAATGTTTTCTTGTTTAACTAACAAAGATGAAGGCTACTGAGTACTCACTCAGGCTCGAGGGACCAAGATGGAAGCCAGCAGTTAGGTGCCTGCTCGAGAGCCCCAGCCAGCACTGCACATGGAAAACAGCATTTCAGTCACTGTCTGCAGTGAGTGCCAGAGAGGAAAGTAGTGCAGGACAGTCTTACAGCCATGACCTTGAAAGGCTCAGCTAAGGAAATGACATAGAAGAAGGATTTGCAAAAAGAGCAGCTATTAATTAGACAAGAAAGGGATGGGGGTGGGCTAGTATTTCAAGCAGAAGACACAACTAGGTATGAAAGGCAGAAGTGGGCAGTGCAATCTCATGAATGGAGAAGCTTAGCATCTCCAAGGACAGCCAGACCCTCTCAAGCAAGTAAGGCTTCCCTATCAGGTTACAGCTCTACAGAAAGTGATGACCTCACGCAGTCAGATTGGGCTCTAAACATCCCATGGTTGCAAATTAGATACTAAAAGCAGGAAGAAGGATAGGACGAAGACAGGAGTTACCAGCAAAACCATTTAGGCTATGATGAGCAGACCATGTTTCCTATCCTAAAGGAGCATCATATGGGGGCAGGAATGAGCTTCCCATGAGCCTTGAACCCAGAGGAGTGGCAGGAATAGACAGACTGTGAGCATAGGCCTACTCTCTTTCTGGACGTGGATGAGAAGTGGACGCACAGCAAGGACAGCAGCACCAGGTGAGGTGGTGAGAAAAGACATTTTTGTCTGTCTGAAGTAAAAAATACTTAAGCTGGTTTAAAAAAAAATGCTGATGGGAAAGATTCATGGAGGGGGGAAAACACTTCAAGATGCTGCAACGAAAAGAGACTGTGCAAGCAGAGGTGGGCTCCTGTGAAGGAGGGACAAATGACAGGTGGGAAGAGACCCACCAGGCCCTGCTCTCACAGGAGCTCTCCTGGGCTCTGAGGGAGCTTGGTGAGGCAGAGGGTGCCGGACCAAGGAGAGGAGACACTGAGGAGGTGCAGAGAGATACTCATAGAGAGAGGTATGCTGTGGTAACGCCAGTTGGCCAAGTGTGCCGGGCAGGACTCAGCTGCCTCCCTGTGGGCACAGCCCAGGACAGAGCCCAGAGGTGGATAGTGAGACAGGAGGTAGAAGGGCCCAGGGAAAGGCCTGCGCTGAGCTGGGAGAGCATGGAAGGGACAGGGGGCCAGGGCAGGCTGGCCGCCAGGCCCACAGCTTCACTCAGGCCTTGGCAAAGGCTCAGTACGCGCTCTGCAACAATTACCGGAAACACCAAGGCTGAGTTCCAAGAGCCAAAGCCATATTCCCCTTCCCTTCGGAAGCTACTCCTTTATTCTGGGGCCAATATCCTCTGGATTCAAACCTATATAGCACAGGAAGTGCAAACATTCCAGGATAAATGGTGGGGGTAAGCTTTCCTTGTCAGGGTTGCAATAAAACAAAAAGATATAAAGAAAAAGAGCTAGGAGGACAAGGACAACTGAGAACAGTTTATCAGAAATTTTGTATTTAAACAAACATGGGCTACTACAGTGACATGAATATTACCATGGGAGGAAAATGAGTGAAGGAGACAGACAGGGGCTTTCTCTGTATTATTACCTACAACTCTCCGTGAATCTGTAATTTCAAAGCACAAAGTACAAAAACACTCCCAGAATTATCAATCCAAGATTTACTATACATACTGTAATGAACACAAAAAATATTTATCAAAAATATAAGAACTATAAGTCAGAGTAAAATTCCAGTACAATAGTTCAGAGGGCATGAACATTAAACTGCATCTTAAATAATACAGTGACATCATGTGCAGTGCAAATAGTGAAATACCTGTTACTGAACTCAGGGGCTTGTACTTGCCAGGCAGGCACGGTGTCACTGAGCTGCATCCCCGGCCTCTAGCTAAATTTTTGTTTTTAAATCTAGTTTAGTTCTTAGCTGGAAAAAATAAATCTATTTCAGCTCTTGAAACATTTATATACATATTCTCTTAGAAAACACTTTTTTTTTCCAGCTTTAATTGAGTTTATTGGTACATTTTAGGGATACAGCACAGTTACATTCATTGTTGGGATCCTGAGAAAACACTTCTTGTACAAGTTCCTTTTGATGAGTGTGATCATTATGTTTATCTAAAGTATATCCACAAATTAATTTTTAAAAAATGCTGTTTTAAAGTAACAAATTTGAAAAGCTTTTCTTTTTAAGTTATATGCAAAGAATTTTTAAATTATTAGATAAACAATAGAAGTTAAATCTATAAGTTTAAATTTCAAAAAATGTTTCCTGGTCAAGATTTTCTTCTGGAAATAACACTTTGCCAGTCACTCATGATAACTAATATTGAAATAATTCAATTTGGCTGTAATTTCAAAAGTGGATTTATCTATGTAATAGTACAGCTGTTTTGTATTATTGCCTCCTAAACGCAAGACTCTCATATTTGTTCTGAAAAAACAGAGATTGAATACATCTAAAACAGGTAACGAGCAACCATTTATAATTAACAATACATTCAAATGCCTACAATGGAATAATAACTTTCGTTATATTGAAATGAACACTTTCCAAGGTCTGTGTCATTAGACATAATAATTCTTTCCTCAATAATCAGTTAATGTCCAAGATAGAAAATACTTCCCTTCTCCAATAATGTCTCAATCTAGGATATATAATGTCTTAGTTCTTCTTAGGAAAATCCTACTAGCATATTATTTGATAATGGTGGTGTATGCCTGCAATCCCAGCATTCTGGGAGGCTGAGACTTGAGGACAGCAACTTCAAGCCCAGCCTGAGCAATTCACCAATACACTATCTCAAAGTAAAAAATAAAAATAGCTGAAATGTACCTCAGTATGAAGGCTCTGGGCTTGACTCCCAGCACCACAATAAAAAAATGAACCTATAAATCAGTAATAAAGCTCTTATTAACAATTATGGTAAAGAATGACTGTATAAGAAATATCAGGAATAGAAAGACCTTTCGGGCTCATTAGGCTATTTTCAGATCCTTCACTCTTGACCAGTGAAACCATTGCTTCTTATCATCCAATTAATCAAGAAATACCATATGTTCCACTTATCCTTGTTAGACCCATAACAGCTGAGCTGGCAATGGTACCTCAGAACCCAAACCAGTCTCAGGTGAAATTCCCATTACGATGTATGATCCACTGGAGCATAAAAAAAAGAGCACATCAGGCACCAGGAGGAAGCCTGGGCCACGATCCACCGTGGGAAGGAG